ACCAAATCAGATTGGTCACAAAAGGATTTACTCAAACATATGGTATTGACTACCAAGAAACATTTGTTATGGTTGCAAAACTAAATTGTATTCGAGTATTGTTATCTCTTGCAGCTAATTTTGAATGACTTTTACACCAATTAGATGTGAAAAATGTCTTTCTTAATGGAGAACTAAGGGAAGAAGTATACATGGATCTACCACCCAGCTTTGAGAATTTGTATGGCTCGAATAAGGTGTGCAAGCTGAGAAGATATGAGGTGATAGGCTATCCAGCTAATCCCTTGGCATGTTTCTTCAGTAATGGAAAGCTTCTTATTTTCTAAAAAACAAAAGTTGTCATGCAAAGTACATAAAATTGGAACTTTGTTTTATAAAGCTAATGGTCACATAATACTACTCTGAGGACACAAGTGGTAAAATCAGCTAACTAAATCCTATGAGCACCATGAAAAATTACCAAACAGTTGGTAAATTTAAACCTATCACGTAATCACAAGTGTTCAATTGTTATTAGGTAGTGCATTCCAAATAATTATCTCAAATGTTCATAACATGGCACACATGAGAGCTAAATAGTTCATGTAACTTAGCAAGACAAACAACAAACAAGATATCAAAATTAGATTTTCAATGCATTGAGCCAAAAAAGAATAATTAGCAACAAGGATACAAATAAAGTAAACAAATCAACTAGGATATTGTCTTTAAATGTGTGACAGAACAATGCAAAGGCATTAACTCCCATGAACATGTTAAAGTTTTTTTATTTGAACTTAACACAAAGACAATCAACATCAGGTTTTAAGATTCTTCTCCAAACAACAAAAACCACCAGTAATGGAAGTAGGCAAGTAGCTTCTTGTTTTGTACAAGACACCAACATCAACACACATGTGCTATGAGATTCTTCTCTTGCATACTTCAGATCATTTGATGTACATAAATGCTTCAATTACATTACAAACTAAAAGTAAATACTTAATAGGATGATATATAATTTTTAATAGGATATGAAACTTATTGTTCAGGAAAAAAAAAACTAAAAGTTGAATTTGCAACGTTCTAAATATCAGCCTACACAATTGAACTCAATCTAGATATTCAAATCAAAATTCACTGCTCAACATGATTCCCAAGATCCTGAATTTTCTCAAGGTATTATAATCCATGTTCCCAACATCTGTCGAGGTTGGTCCACATCAGCAGTTCCCACATAAAATCAGCTCAAGTATCAACTAGGCTACTCCATTTTTTATTGATTGTTATAATTACCATTTACCAGATATCATATTGGAAATAAATTCAATTACAGTAATATAACTTCCAATCAAAATTGACTGTTGTGGGTCAAAAGTTTCCAATCTATTTTATTTTTGTTAATGGTTCAAATTAATTCTGAAGTGTTGGCATTTATTCCATCATCAGTTATGTCAAATTTTGCAGTTCAATATAGAATATCTCTACAATATTTCTTTGAATGGTATTGATGGTCAATACACAACATAAAACATATGTTTGAAACTTTTGTTGCTATACATTTGCTCCCTATCTTCTCAATTGTACTAGTTTCAAAGGCTTAAGAGTGTCCTTTCCTATCAAAATGAGAAAATATACATTTATTACTACTTCTAGCCACCGAACTCAATTATCATCCATTTTTAATCCTTTTTTATCATGCTTAGGTCCTTCTACTGTATATACAAGTATACATCATATAACCTCTCCTCATGAAACTCGTTAAATATGGATTTCCTGTTGTCTTTCCACAAGACATAGAGCCTTTTATGGTATTTTCTTTGACAAAGTAGTGAATCTTATATTTATTAATTTATTGAATTTGACTGTTGGAATTTTTGAATTCTGATTGAGCTTGCTGATTACTTGATTTGATCAGAAGCCACAATGTATAACCTGTAAAGCACAAAAAATCAGCCAAGAGAATCAAAGTTTATTTGAACATTTGAAGAGAATATGGTACAAGTAAATTGGCATTTTCCTTTTGAACAATCTGATTCTCCATCTTACAATGATTTCCTTGAATTTTAACTATCAGCTATTTCTACTGAACTTAAGTCATGTTCTCCACTAAAAACAGATCTTTATACTGTATTTGATAACCTTCCATCACTATTTGCTTACTATCAAGAGGTTTTACCAATAACAAAGAGGCCAGAACAAACATGGATGTGAGAACTGTAAGAATAGGCCAATATTGTCAAGGATGTACTTGAGGTCACTTTGCCCCCTAAGTCACCCTAATGGGATGAAAATGCAGTATGTTAATCTTCTTCTTGCAGGTTCCTGATTAGTTCCTACATGCACACTTCATTTCCTGGAATAATGTGGGCTGTGCATAAAAGAGTAAACTTAATTGCTCCCCACCACTGGACAACCACTTATTGTGGTTCACAAATATCAAGCATTTCAGAGTGCACTTGCATCATTCATGCTTCTTTATATTCCATCATGATACACAATGTGGTGATTGTGTACTTAAAATGTCATTGTAGCCACATATGATAACTGCCACAAGTAAGGATAAAATTTTGTGATTGATCAAAGAATTTCAAGCATTTACATATGCATTGAAATGTGCAAATTCAGGATACAGAAATTCCATGGTGCCCTTGGAATTAAAACATTCAAATTTGAAGGGACAGATTTAAAGGATAGATTTTATAAGTAATGTTTGTAAAGGTGTTTGGTTAATCCTGATAAAATCCTGAATGTTGTTACAAGTAACAGCCTATACAACTGCCCAGGCACTTAATATGCCCTGGATATAACCAATTTACGCAAACAACATGAAAGTCCATTTCTTCTATTTTAATTCTACATGTAGGTGTTCTTCAATACTTGCAAAGGTTTCACTAGCAAGGTGACTCGAACAGCCTTTAACATTCCACCGTAAAAGAATTAAAACAAGAAAATGTATCATGATTGTTTGCCACTTTAAGTTTTATGAGGAAACAACTCAAAGATTCCCTACATGCTTAATATAGTAGACAACTGTGGCGTGGATCTTGTTTATTATGACTCCTCTTCTCCCCTTCCTCTTGTTTCCACTCTTTTCCACACAGCCACTTGTGCCTATCACCACATTGCAAAATCACCAAACTGTTGCTACTTCAGGTACATACATTAACATATTTAAACAATAAGCCTCGTTATTTAAATTCCATCATTCTTTAAAATCTTATGCATCTCTTGTTACGCAAAGGTGATTAGCTTGTGGTGCTCCCAATAGGTTACTCTCATTTGGATCGTTTATAAAATCACCAACGTTACAGTTCACATGGCTAGATAGCTACCTAAATCCATAAACCAATGCTCGCTGTGGTGGAAGAATTTACAGACTAAGTATTCTTACAAAGATAGCCAAATTTACCAGGCCTCCCAAAGGATTCCATATATCAAACATTAATTCTCCAATTTGAACTGCTATGATATGGGCATATCATTAGAAATTAGCTACTAAAAACTTGATTGCGGTAGGTCATCACAGATCCAAGCAACATAGTCCGCATCAAGTTCCAGATAAGCAATGACAATACTCTATGGTACCAAAAGCTTTAAATATCAGAAACCTAACCGATTTGAAGAGAAATCAAACAATCGAGAAATAGGAAGAATCTGACAGACAAACGTATATCACCACAACCAAATAGAAAAAAGGAAAAGGACGAGGGTTAGCAGACTATACCCCCTCGCATGCACACGAATGGGGTGACGCTCCGGTCTTGTAAGCCGTCGAAGGAAGCTTCGCGCCCAAACTAAACGCAGAACAAGCGCCGGGTTCAGACATCGGTCCGACGAATCGCAAGTGAAAAAGGGACGTTTTACCTCTCGAGGTAGTCGCGGAAGAAGGCGATCGAAGGATCGGCAAGGACGGTGGGGTTCTTCTTGCACTGCTCCACAAACAGTCGCAGCTCCTTCACCTTGGCCGCATCCATTTCGCCGCCGTAAACGAGAGCGCGAGTGGTCGAGGAAGTGAGGCGAACAAGAAGAGGGTATCGATCCGAGGGCACTTTTTGTAGAGGGATTTAGAACGAGCCCACCGGCTTCTAGTAGCTTCCGAGCGCGTTGGCGTTGGGCCTTGTGAAGCGGTTTAGGAGAATAAAGAAACCGTGGGCGAAGGTTGGGTGAAATCGTAAATCCATAGATCCGTGGGGCTGTTTTGTATACTAATAATTACCTTCAATTATTATATTTTTTTTTACACTTCATCACACTATCAGCTTATTCAGAAATATTATAATTAAATAAATTAACTCAAAAATTAATAATAGTTAACTTATATATAAAAATAGAGCTCCAATAACAGAAACAATAACAACCAAATAAGGAAGCTTGTCGGTTATAATATTTTTTAATGTAATATTTTTTGGCCTCTAACATAATAAGCTTATCTAAAAAATACTCTAACTAGAAATAAAAAGACTTTCTTTCATTTCGGAGGCTTACAGTGCTTTTAAAAATATTATAAATTTATTTAAAAATATTATAATTGAAAAATTAGACTTACAGTTCATCCTTTGAATTGGTCCAAAATCAATGAATGGATTCATTCAATAGATCGGTTCAATAAAAATAAAAAAATATTATAATATCATATCAATGATATTTAAGAGATTATAAAAAGATGGAACACCTTTGGGAAATATGATGAAGGGGCTTCTCTCTATTTTCTAAGAATTTTCCAGTTTTAGAGATCTTCACTTTTCATAAATAATCAAAATATTGTTAATTTATAATGTTTTAATCATATTATTTATGTTTGTGGAATATTTTTAATCATATATTTTGCCGAAATAATGCCCAACTATTTTTAAAAAATTATACTTGATGAATTTAGAAGTCAACAATCAAACATTATTTTGAAGGAATATAAAGAGAAGTATGCATCATAATAAAGATAAATTTTAAATAGAGGTAGATTAATAATGTTTCTAACATATGGAAGATATGAAACCAATGCTATGTAACGCTCTCACAGTGCTTACCATCACAGTTAGATGCATCCCACAACACGCGCTCTGAAACGCTCATTAACGCCGGAAGCCAAAGCCAAAGCCACACCCTACGCCTCAGCTTCCTCCCTCTTCTCAACTCGCACTATTCCAAACTTTGAGCTCAACGCCACTTATCGCCCGATACTTGCCGACCCTCGAATCTACACCAATCTCCTCACATCGCTCTCCAAACAAGCGGTTCTCTTTGGTTCCCATCACCCGTTCGACGAAACCCCCCTTAGAGATCGATTCTCAAAGAGCTGCAAGACCTTGCACGCGCGGGTCCTCAAGCTCGAACTCCGGCTGTCCGGAGCCGTCGGTAATGCCCTCGTAGATGCCTACTCCAAGTGCGGCCACGTCTGCTACTCCCGAAGGGTCTTCGACCGCCTCGAGGCGCGGGACGCGGCCGCATGGAACTCGGTCCTCTCTGCCCACTCGCGCCATGGGCTGCCGGACGAGGTTTTGCACTCGTTCCGGTCGATGCGACTCGCCGGCGCGCAGCCGGACCAGTTTGGTTTTGCAATCGCGCTCTCGGCTTGCGCCCGGTTAACGGGTCTTGTTTTCGGCCAACAGGTGCACTGTGATGTTGTGAGGACGGGGTTTGAGTCCAGTTCTTTCTGCGAGGGGTCTTTGATTGATATGTACTCGAAATGCGACTGCGTTGCTGATGCACGCAAAGTTTTCGATGGAATCAATAACCCTGACATCGTTTCCTGGACTAATATGATTGCCGGCTATGCTCGGATTGGTATGTGCTATGAAGCGGTGGAACTGTTTGCGAAAATGGAGAAGATGGGGGGTGTACCTGACCAGGTTGCACTTGTGACCACTATAACTGCACTTTTGAGTTTGGGAAGGCTCAACGATGCACAAGCCTTATTCTGGCAGATGCCTTTGCCAAACACTGTAGCTTGGAATGTGATGATCTCCGGTCATGCTCAACATGGGCATGAGGTTGAAGCTCTTAGTTTTTTCAAAGAAATGAGAGGAAGGGATGTTGAGCCCACTCGCTCGACGATAGGAAGTGTGTTGAGTGCTGCTGCCAACCTCATGGCCCTAACTGAAGGCCAGCAAGTGCATTCTGAGGCAATTAGGTTTGGTCTGGATTCAAATGTTTTCGTCGGGAGTTCTTTGGTGAACCTATATGCTAAATGTATTCAAATAGAAGATGCAAGGAAAGTGTTTGATTTCTTGGATGCAAAGAACATCGTTATGTGGAATGCAATGCTCGGTGGATACATACAGAATGGGTATGCAGAAGAAGTCATGCTCTTGTTTTCTGAGATGAAAATGCTTGATTTTGAATCTGATGAGTTCACTTTTGTTAGTGTTTTTGGTGCCTGTGCTAGCTTGGAGAATCTTAACTTGGGTAGGCAGTTACATTCTTTTACAGTCAAGAATAAGTTTGTGGCCAGTTTGTTTGTAGGGAATGCAATTTTAGATATGTATGCTAAATGTGGAGAGCTCAGTGATGCAAGAAGGCAATTTGAATGTATACCTAACAGAGACATCGTTTCATGGAATGCAATCATAGTTGGGCTTGTGCATAATGAAGAAGAGAGTGATGCGTTCAGTCTGTTTCATAGGATGTTGATGGATGAGGTGCAGCCTGATGAGATATCCTTTGCTAGTGTTATAAGTGCTTGCTCTAATCTACAAGCTTTTGAGAAAGGAAAGCAGATTCATTGCTGTTCTATCAAATCTAGTTTCAGTTCAAATCTTTATGTGGCAAGCTCGCTTGTTGACTTCTATTCAAAACATGGAGAAATTGAAGCTGCCAAGAGAGTCTACAGACAGATGCATGAAAGGAGTGTAGTCTCAACAAATGCGCTGATTGCTGGTCTTGTTCAAAACAACAATGAGGAGGAAGCGTTAGAGATGTTTAGGAAAATGCAGGTTGAAAACTTGGAGCCTTCTGAGTTCACATTTTCAAGCATCCTTCCTGCTTGTTCTCAGCCTTCAAGATTAATCATGGGGAAACAAGTGCATGGCCACTTACTCAAGTCTGGCCTTCTATATGATAGTTCATATTTAGGAACCTCACTTTTAGACATGTATCTGAACTCCAAAGAAATCGAAGATGGCAAAAAGCTCTTCTGGGAGATGCCTGAAAGAAAGAGCATGGTATTATGGACAGCAATCATTTCAGGACATGCACAAATTGGTTACAGTGATGATGCGTTGCTTCTCTTTCATGATATGCGTAGTTACAATGTCAAGTCAGATGAATCCACCTTGGCCAGTGTTTTGAAAGCTTGTGCTGACTTGGCTGCTTTAAGAAATGGTAAAATGGTCCACAGCCTCATCATCCGAACTGGCTTTGGTTCCTATGAACACACAACTAGTGGTCTTATAGACATGTATTCCAAATGCGGTGAAGTGGGAGCTTCTCTTCAAGTGTTCCAGGAGTTAGGGAACAAAGAAGACATCATCTCATGGAATTCTATGATAGTCAGTTTTGCGAAAAATGGGTATGCTGAAGAAGCTCTTGAGCTCTTTCAGCAAATGGAGCAATTACAAATAAAGCCTGATGACATCACATTTCTTGGTGTCCTTACGGCATGTAGTCATGCAGGCCTGGTCTCCAAAGGCCATAGTATCTTTGGTTCAATGACTACAAAGTATGGAATTACTCCAAGAGTTGATCACCATGCTTGCATGATTGATCTCCTTGGCCGCAGTGGTTATCTTAACGAGGCTGAGGAACTCATCGATGAACTACCATTTGAACCCGATGGTGTGATCTGGGCTACACTGCTTGCAGCCTGCAGAATGCATGGTGATGAAACAAGGGCGAAGCGAGCAGCAGATAAACTCATTGAATTGGATCCGCTAAACTCTTCTCCTTATATATTACTCTCTAATATATATTCTGCATCTGGTGATTGGAGCAGGGCTAAGATGATGAGAAAAGCAATGCGAGAAAGAGGAGTGAGGAAGTTACCTGGATTTAGTTGGATTACTGTTGGAAAAGAAACTGTCTCATTTGTTGCAGGAGACAAATTGCATCCAGATGCTATCGAAATCTGTGGCACTCTGAAGCATTTGACTGCAGAAATGAAAGAAGATTATTATGTTGATTCACTTTCTCTTGGTGAAGTTTTTGGATAAAATCCCTTTATCATTTGCCTTGTAGTTCACCGAGGTCCATATATGTGGTTCTGCCTTGAATTAGAAAGAGCCATGGAGAATATGGTTACAAAGCAATATGAGGAAGTCCAGTTAAATGTGTTCTGTTAAGCAGCCATCGGGACCAAATTCTGAGTCAAATGGTTTGTCAAGACATCACCTATGATACGAGGGAGCTAAGTTTCACGTGATTTTTAGAGGGTGACATTGCCAAACCTGAAAATTCAGTGTTGGAGTTTTGAAAAAACCACTCAGCTTATGGGATTTTTTTTCTGAAAACTCCATTAGCAGCAGGAGCCTCATGAAAATTTCATGACTCCTCATTTTCAAGTGAAATAATTTTATTATGGAGCACCTTGATACATGGAAATCCAAGAAGAGATTAAGAGTATGTATATCTTAATTAAGTAGATTTTTTACTTGAAAACTTTATCTTCATTCATTTTCATCTCCTCAATTTGTGGTGATGGTGGGAGTGGTGACGATGGCAAAATGAGATGATGACAATGGTAGTAATGATGTGTTTGATGGTAGAGGTTGTTGCGGTGTTAGTGGTGATAACAATGGTATTGATACACTAAAGATGATATCGATTGCAATGATGGTGATATTATGATATAGTTGTGGTAGTGGCTACAAGATGATTGTGGTAATGATGGTAACTGTGTGGTAGCCGTGTGATGATTGTGGTGGTAATAAGGGTGATGGTGGTGAGTGATGGCATCAACAACAATGGGGATGAGATGGGTGGTGATCATCGTAAAGAATGGAGGCAAAATGACCGAGTAATGATGGTAGCATCGACAACACAACAATATCATATTTTTCGAGTTGTTTTTACATTTAAAATATGTGTTAGTTTCAATTTAGCTCAATTCTAAATGGGATATGGTGTCAATCTTAGTAACCTTACTTTTGTGTTGATTTGGGGTTTGCCTCATCATTTTGGTGACACTAATTTCATAATCATCTTTGTTGTAGAATATTCTTGGCAGTGATTGTAAAAGGCGCTCGGGCGCTCACCTAGGCGCTCGGGCGAGGCGAGGCGAGGCCCGAGCGCCTCGCTAATGTCCCAGGTGGCGTGCTTCAAACAGGCGCCGCCTGGGCGCTCGCCCGAGCCCAGGCGCTGGGCGCTTCGGGCGAGCGCCTGGGTAAATCAAGGTGACCGAACCAGAATTTTAGGTCT